AGTTACTCAATAATGCTGGAATTAGCCAACTCTGCACTTAAAACTTAAGCACTCATATGTCTTTAAAATATATTTGAGGGCCTCCCCGGTGGCGCAGCGGTTGAGCACTGGGTTGCGAAGCTGCCCGCAGACTCTGCAGCACTGGTTCGATCCCCGGCTGCTCCCTGGCCACCGGAGGAGGGTCCCACATGGCACGCAGACCTCTCCTGCCGCCCGCTGCTCCCCTCAGCAGTATACTTCGGTCCTTCTGCCTGCTCTGCTCCCCGCTCTGGCTCTGGTGAATTCTCTCACCCTCCCGCTCTTCTGACTGTACCCAGTGCTTGTATAAACAAAATAAAAAAATAAATCTTAAATATATATATATATTTGAAAACCATCTAAGGTTATCTGTGGATTATTTACTTCCACAAGCTTACAGAAGTTTTAGTATCAATAGTAAGCAGTCAGTATTAAAGGGAATGTAAGAAAAAGTTTGTAGAAATGCTGTATATTTATTGACAAGATTCTAAAACCATACACAGTGAATTAGATCTAATTTCATATTAATCAAGTTTTTTTCACCCTAACAGCTGACAAGATCAGCTCTATGGCTCAGTTTGTCAGCATGTTGGGAAACATCAGTTCTCAACATTTGCAATCCAGATAGGACCAGAATCACAGGGTAGGCTGATAAAAGCCCCTCACACTGTACCCCAGGTCATACTAAATCAATCTCTGGAAATGGGGCCAAGGAGTCTTCACTTTAAACAAGCTGCCTAGATAGACTGCTCAGAGCAAAACATAAAAAAAAAAAAAAAAAAAAAAAAAAAAAAACACTGGGTTTAAGATATAGAACCATGAGGTTAACTGATATTAAACTTTCTAATATGATACCTTTCTCATTCAAATATGGCTGTTGATACTTTGTCAAATACAGTCTCTTTGCCTTAAGAACAGTTTAGTCCCTATATTCAGTCTAAAAGTCAAATACCTTTTAGTGCCCTCAGAGCAGCAGTCCAGATTCAATTTCATTGTACATAATTAAAGAGCAGAAACTCAGAGGCAAAAATCAGGTGTGTACAGGCTGATTGGGGACTGCAGGTAGCATCTCTGCACCATTACTCCTCCAGATGCTCTCAGAAGCACACAGTCCCCACATTCCTCCATCCCCTTCTCATCACCTCCTCCTTTTCCACACTCATCACAGCAGGGCCTTGCATGCTCAGCGTTCTGTACAGGAAGTGACTAAGCTACAGTCATTTCTCAGGTTAACTGCTAGGTTTTCCCTAGCTGTGGAGCTGTACAGCAGAAAACTGTTCCGTGGAAAATAGTGGGGTTCTGTGACTTTTTCTTCGTATTATCTTTGTTATGACCATAGTTATTGAAATGTATTTAATGTCAATTGATACTCATAAGAAAAAAATTGGACTTATATTGTTTTTTCCACTTCACTTTTCTTCTAATTTGTTGTCAAATGCATAGCTCTGTGAAAGTCTTAAAAAGTTCTTCACTGAAGATAATTTGCAATGCACTGCTCTATATCACATTCCTTCAAACAAATTCAAACAAAACACGGCTCCGGTGTCGTACCCGCCTGCTAAACAGTAAGAAGCTGTTTGTCCAAGATCATCCATGAGATTCTCCAGGTCTGTAATTCCCTGTGGATTAGTTATAACTTGTTTTCTTGAAGGTAGATTTTTCACTAGTGAATTGTCCGTAACACTTTTATATTTACAGCTAACTTTCTGCTGCCTCCCCTCAGAGCTCTGATCCATCACTCCCACTGTGAGACTGTGTGGGCTAGAAGAATAAAGAGCATTTTAATAATAGCCCAATCAACATGTAATTAAAAAAGGTAATTTGTGACAAAAAATATTATATAATACGCATCAAAGATAAATTCTAGATATTTTGTACCATCTGCTTTTTTGGATTACCACTTCTCTACTGAGATTTAAAAAAAAATTTTTTTTTAAAGATTTATTTTTATTCATACAAGCACTGGGGTACAGGCCAGAGGCAGGGTAGGGTAAGAGAATTCACCAGAGACAGAGTGGGGAACAGAACAGGCAGACCGACTGAAGACACTGCTGAGGGGAGCAGCATGTGAGGCAGGAGAGGTCTGCCGTGCCATGTGGGTATCTCCCTGGCCAGCCGAGAATCGAGCCTGCATTGCAGAGGCTGCAAACAGCTTCACAGCACGGCGCTCCACCCACTGCACCATAAGGGAGGCCCTGAGATTTAAATATTTACATCAATATATTGAAGCATACATGTCTTTCTGAACCTTCTTGTTTTATAACATTTTGTTCCCCTTCCTTGCTAGACTCTGAACTTCACAAAAATGGAGGTCATTTTTGTCTTACTCGCCTCTGTGTTGCAGTGTTTAGACAGCCTCTAACATACTAAAAAATATTTATTTGAATGAATGAGTGAATGAATGAATTTCTTAAAGGAAGAGTCATGAGCTTCGTTTCTTTATAGTTTCTTAAATATTTCTTGTCCACTACCATCCTCTTGTTCCACAATCTCTGGGCATAAATTTTATAATTTGAATTGAATCAAAGGTCTCCTGTGCTTCTCTTCACAGAGCCTGTTACAAGATGTTTTCATTCCTCCAACTCAGCTGTTTTTAAATGTCAAAGCTCAACAGAACTGTTACCAACAAGTCTATATCTGATAGTGATCAAACCTCTTTCTGCTTGGGATTAGCTGCAGCAAATTTTGTTTTTTCCTTTTTATTGATGATCATAGCACCTCTTGTTGACTGCAGTGCACAAGCAGGTTTGTTTGTTTTGTTTTTCATTTTTATTTAGCCAGCAGGAATTTAAAAAGGAAAGTGTTTTAAGAAATTACTTTCCTTCTCCAGAGAAGTGTAGACAGAGCAAGTATAAAGAAAGATCTAATTGAATAAACTTCTAAGACCTCCATTCCCCAATTGATTCTCCAGGTATATGTGTGTCACACATAATATCTAACAAGATCTTCCTTTTTTGATACACCCTGCCTAGAGCAAGGGAGAAATGACATTAGAATATGCATTTCTCCCAAAGCTTTCGCAATGCACTGACCCTCTCAAAGTTCCCAAATGGCTTCTTCATGTTTTGTTAGGAACCATCTGGCTGGCTGTAGATAAACAAGTTTCAACATATGGGCCATAACACATACACGGTTCTGCTCCGCTAGTGCAGAAAATTAAGAAAAGGTCACTCTCCTGATATGAGAATCTCAATGCAAAAGCAGCAGGACCCTGTCTCGGAAGGCCTGCCCCAGGATGCACATGGGAAGCTCAATTGCAGCTTCTTCTCTTCCTTCTCCCAGACTCATTGCATGTGCCATGTGATCACACCAATTCTTCAGTTCCTCATCTGCAAATGTAAAAAGGTGCCAAGTCAACTCTAACCTGCTTCCTTCCCCTACTCTCCTCCCCTCCCATTAAGAAATATTTAGCATATGCCTACTATGTAGGTCCCCAGCCTGGTGGTAGGTACTGGGGATACTGGTCCCCTGCCTTGAAGAATTACTGAACAATGATGAAGAATGCAGTAAACAAATAATCGGTAATGGGAAGAATATTCCAGATAAGACGAAAACCTGTGAAGTCCTGACATGGGAAGGACCCCATGGACCATTTTCAAAAAGCAGGATTTATAAACACTTCTATTTACTGAACTGAGGACTCAGTTGACAATCAAAATGCTAAAAGAAAAATGCCCACCATCTGTAGATAGAAATATATTAGCAAAACCTACTTGAAAAATTGTCTGATCTTTCTACCCATATCCTTAATCTCATGCCTGCTGTAAATCTAATAAAATTGCATGACAATATGATTATCAAAAACAGATACAAGTATCTCAAGCATCTGACACCACAGTAAATGCTTTAAGAATTATGAACAGCTCCAGAAAACCTAGAAACCCAGTGGATGCCTCTTGTTTATATTTACAAAATAAAACTTAACCTCAAGGCGACAATCATTAAGTAATCTCTCACAAATACTTTATTTCCCAATCATTTCCCAACACTCAGCCTCGCCAAAAGATGACAGCTCATGCCTTAGAGTGAGTGCAGAGACTAGTCATAATTATCATTTTTGCTGAAATACCTACAATATATGTAAAATGCTTATTTCAGTAATCCCCCCAATTCTCAGTTAAAGCAGAAGCTGTAGCATCAGCACAAATTATATCATATGTGAAACAGTATAAATTGATATTTTTTTCATGCTCATTTTCTACCCCTTCCTTTCTTTTGGCTGTATGTAAAACACATGCATGTGCTCAAGAGGTGTGAACCCATTCCCCTAAACACGCCCAGTGCAGTAAACCAATGTTACTTCAATTTTTTAAAAAGTTTAAAAAAAAGAAAACAACCAATTTGTAACCAAAAACCACATACATATAAAGCACACTAGCCAGAGAGAAGCAGAGTTCAATAATCAGGGATTCAAGTCAGGCAGAATAAAGAGGCAATTGGAATAAGTAAGGTCCTGATAAAACCATTAAACAAACACATTTGAAAACCCGAATCAATCCAATTAACCAAAATGCCTAGTTTTATACTAACAGGAAAGAAACACATCACTCCCTGCAAATTGCTACGGCACTTAGTATATTGTAGCCATCTGAGAAATGCCTGTCTTCTAGCTGATGACAAAGTCCTTAAAAGGACTGGGCTTCACTGATCTCTGCTGTCCTGATGCCCACGGTGCTGAACATAGCCGGAGTCCAATAAACAACCATTAATCAAATCAAGAAATGAAAGGTCATTCTTAAAAAAAAAAGTTACAAAATGGATGAATCCTCACCATGAAATGCAATGAATCGCAGAACTGTCTTAATTAGCTCTTAGGACTTTAGCAAACATATAAAACTTGTCTGTCTGCCATTCTACAGATAGCAACATTTATGACATCAAACCTTCAATTAAAAATCATTGCTTAATTTGCTTTATTACAGCTACAAATAAACTTTATTTGATGTAATGTAATAAAACATTTTCAAATTTAACAACATTTATCTGACAATAATTAATCATTTGAATTATTACTATATGTATATACAGTCACGTTAGCAAATCTGCAGTTCAGGAATTTGTACACACTTTGATAGAACAGTGCCCGCCTCCCGGATCAGGAAGGCTGACTCGTCCCTGTGTCTGGTGAGAAGCAATGTCAGTGAAAAGTTGAAAGAAATCCGTAATCCATGTTGGAATTCCACATTATCCTGTGAAAGAACAGTCACATTCATTGTAGGAAAATAATATTCTCTTTCAGTTCTCATATCAAATGAAGCTTTGCATTCATTTTTTTCCACTTAAAGGTACTCTCCTTTTCTGAGCTTTCTGTCTCCCTAGCTCAATCATATGATATAGTACCATTTTTTTTTTTAAATACTACTCATAAAGCAACATTTTCTGTTTCCTAACCTGCCTTTAACATCTACCACTTTGGGGAGGGAGAGGGAAGAAGAACCAAATTTGCCGGGCACATATTTAAGATCCAGAGAACACAAAAATAAATCTTCCAGACAGAACAGAATGCTATTCTGGACCACTTCCCAATAGTGGCGCAGGAGACCTCTGATATAAACGATCCCATTTAATACAATGCTGCTCAGTGAGAATTAACATGTTGATGTTCCCTCTCCAGAAGCACCACAAGCTTTCACGGAAATCCCATTATTCCCACACTTCCTCCCAAAAGACAGTTATGAAAAGGCCTGTGGGCCACTGGCCCGTGTGTAAATGATGGTCAAAGATTCTGTGCCAATACCAATGTTAATATACAGTGTGGTTAGGTATCACTCCCTCTTCATACAGGTAACGATCCTCACAAAAAGAATCCCCCTCACTTCTCAGGACCCCTCAAAAGAAGCGTGAGCACAAGAAAGAGCTTTATTCGGGTTTGTCATTCTCCCCATCCTGAGATCTGTTCCTGAGTTATACCATAACAGTGAGTTAACAAAGAAAGTACAGTGGCGGGGTGTCACAGGGACCCTGCAGACAGTCACACTATTAGACAGAAGCTTCACACAGACGCTGCTCTGGGGAATCTTTGTATTAGCTGACGACGGGACTCTGTTTTCTAACGTGGACATGCAACATTTTCAACACTATGCTTAACCGCAGTTTGCTTAGAAAAACACCCTTCTGTCCTACAACAAAATACATTCTGTCTCATGAATGATTCCTGAATATTCACCACAATGCCTAGACTCGGAAGCACGGGAAGTATGCACTGGAACTTTCTTCCATTTGCATGGACTTGGTCACACTCAAAGCACCAGAAACTGTTCCCTTTCTGGAACTTGGACCTATCCGTGGGACTGCTGCTGAGCTGATCTGGCTGTCTCAAACTAAGAACTACTTTCATTCGTACACAAATGTGCTGATTCACAGAGCAAAGGAGAGGTCAGCACCTCCCTCATCAAGTATTGTGCACAGCAGACCCCCCTGCTTGTCACGTATGGGCCATCCCAAGAAAGGACAGAAGCCGTGTTCCACTCTGCAGTCTCAGCAAATGATTTCCTTCTGTTTCCACCTCTGTCTTGCCTTGCTTATTTCGTCTCCATTATTCCGCTTTTGATCATGAATCATGACTTTTTTTTCTACAGTAGTCAGAGTTTTGTCTATAAAAAGAGAGAGAGGGGGAGACAAGAAAATGATTTAGCAGAACCGTAAATGTGAGTTTTCATTTTGTGGTGGGTGGATTTAATTTTTGCAGCATTCAGTAATTTGACTCTTTTGTGGCTTCTCAGGGGTTATGCGCATCTCTAAGAGGAAAAAGTGCTGGGGCTCTTTTCATAAATTCCATAACTTCCGCACATCACCAGGGCCTTAATATATTTGCAAATCAGCCCCAGGCAACCCATTTAGAAAATCACTTTTATATAAATTCGCAGCTATAGCCCAAAATGACTATACTCTCAATAATCCTTGCAAAATACTACTTCGCTTACCCCACTTGAAAAGAATAAGGATGACTACTAATGAGAAGTGTTTACCCCTTCCAATCTAAGAGGATGAATTATAGTAAGCTATGTGTGCAGAGACCAGAGAACCCCACCTCCTCTGCCTTCCTCACAGATTCAGAGAAATCTTGGTCACTGGCTGAGGAAAAGTCTTTCTCCTTAGTTTAAAGCCACCTTTCCCCTCAAGCCACATTGCCCTGACTCTGAACCTTCACAGGACTTACCAAAGCATATCCATGTACATAAGAGACTCATGCAGTTCCAGAGCCTGGTACTGCTCCCCAGCCTCTTCCTCCCCATCCCATTGAAAGTACCCCTCTCGGGGCCTCCCCAGTGGCGCAGCGGTTGAGCGCTGGGTTGTGAAGCTGCCCGCAGCCTCTGCAGCGCCAGTTCGATCCCTGGCTGCCGGGCGAGGGCCCCACACGGCCCGCAGACCTCTCCTGCCGCCCGCTGCTCCCCTCAGCAGTGTACTTCAGTCCTTCTGCCTGCTCTGCTCCCCGCTCTGGCTCTGGTGAATTCTCTCACCCTCCCGTGCTTCTGACTGTACCCAATTGTATAAATAAATAAATAAATAAATAAATAAATAAATAAATAAATAAATAAATAAATAAACAAACAAATAAATAAATAATTTAAAAAAAAAAAAGAAAGAAAGAAAGTACTCCTCTCGCTTGGGTATCAAGATTTGACAGATTGGTGTTCCTGGTGACAGGATCAGGTTCTCCATAAGACACCATCTCTCACTTTGTCCCTCAACTTACATGATGAAGACAAGTGCCAGGCTGCTCTCAGGCCCACAGCTCCAACCAAGCTCCTGGGTACATGGGAAAGGGTGCTGGAGCCAGGCCACGTCCCCACTGGTGCTCCACGCCTGCTCCCAGGCCAGAGCCTCTGGCTCTCCTCAGCACAAAAGGGGGACTTCACTTTCCCAGCTCTGCTCGTGTCTGCTCATGAACTGCCTCCAGCCATAGCACCATCCTCACCATCTACCTGCTAGCTGCTTACAAACATCCAGACATCCTTGGCCTCTCATCACCTTTCCCTAGCATGGCCCTCCTAACAGGGAGCTCACCTTCACACTGGCTGCCTAACCTATCTCTCTTGTCCCGTTGTGATCCTTATTTATACTGCAGTCCTGGTCTCATTCCTGCTCCAAAGCCTTCACCTCCCATACCCACCACACTGACCACCACTGACCCCAATCTACCCAGCCTCCAGGTACTGCTGAATACCAGCCCAGGTCCCTTATCTCCCCCACCACATCTGTGCCCCTCTGTCTATAGTGTCCCCTCTGCCTCGAACTTCTCCCACCCCATCTCCACCACTGCCACTTCTCTTGTTGAACTTCTACTCTTCCTTCAAGACCCACACCAAATATCACCGACTTCATGATTTCCAGCATGCACGGTTTCTTCCTACGACATTCCACCACGGCTTATTTTTCTTATATACCTACTTGAACTGCTTAGTTTTACTTTGTGCTATGTGTTATTCCATATCTGCTAAGAAAACAGAAAGAAATTCCCGAAAAAGTGTGAAAGTAATTTTAAAATGTAGGCATTTGCAAAGTGACTATACTAATTGATTTAATAAAAACTAAGTTCTGAATTCCAGCTAGCAAATGATGAAGAAAAAAAATATGGTGGGGGGAAAAATTCATGAAATAGTGAATTTTTTATTTATTTTTCTGTCTTTATGGCAACATCCCTTCACAGATACTTGGGACTTCAGGGGTTTTGGTGCTTCATCCTAGTTTCCACTGCGACCCATTCATTTTTTTTAATCACTGGTTTCCAAAAAGAAAGTTTGACTTGCCCTAAGCCCCAAAGCTTTAGCACAAATTCTGAAGCAGCATATTGACAGACTCGTGGAAGAAATCAAGGTTACGCCACCATGACATAACCAATGAAATCATCAGGTATTTATGGACTCTTTGAAGAGAAGGAAAAAGTGAGCACCAAGTAGAAAAAGAGAGGGGGGAAAGAAAAAGCTTCTTCAGAAGATTTTGTGAAGTTCTTTTTTATGGAAGCATTTTAGAAACTACTTTCAATATTGTTGACAATAAGGTTATCAAAGAACCAATGACATCAAAATGTGACACTTAAGAGCAACTTACAGCAATTTAAAGCAAATCCATAAATAAAGTCATTATTAAAGAAAAAATAAGAATTATAATTTTGAGTAGTGAATTAAATTTACCAGTGTAGAAGCGTTACTAACTTTTCTTTCCAGTCATTTATTCCCTGCCTCCATGGAAGATTCCCTAATGCCTGCTGGACTCCTAAGTCTCTTCTACTAATCAAGAAAATGGAAAGAAACAGGAAAATATGTGGAAGTACAATACACAGTCTAGCACATTGTTTATACAGAAAAGGAAGAAAGTAATTATGTAGGATTAAAAAAAAAAAAAAAGGACCAAGAATGCAGAGCAAAGGCAAAGGTAAAACACTACAACTTAAGCAGCTAGAGGGTGAGAGAAGCACTAGAGACAGTAGAGGGAGGGGCCCTGAGTCTCTGGACTGGCCCAGAAGTTAGAGAGCTAGAAATGTATGCAAGCAAACAAAGCTCTGAGAGGGGTTGTGATCTATGATTGGATACCACTTCATTCCTCCAGACACTCCAATAGTTACGAGTTGTTTGGGGGATTATTCAACTGCCGTTTATTTGGATGCAAACGTACAGAGGATGGACTGTGTAGGGTATTCTGTGTAGGGTATTACTAGCCTCTTACTGTGCTCACCACATGAATTGTCATCCTGGCCTAGTGGACAATGAGCTTCCAAAGGCAATAATTGTCTTTTATTCATCTTTATAATCACCTGTCATGTCTGGTACCATATTTTGTGCATAGTAGGTCCTCAAATGTTTCTGGAGAAAACAAACCAGTGAAGACTCTTTACTTCTAGCCTCTACCTTCTGATTCATTCCACACTACACCACTGAATTAGTCTTTATTGTTTGTGCTTTGATGATTCCATTCTCCTCTTTGCAAAGATTTAGTCAATGGTTTACTATAGCTGCACTAGGGTAGGTCCTCCCTTCTCCCCAATCAAAATTATGTCCAGACATTGTCAAATGTACCCTGATGGCAAAATCATCCCTGGTTGAGAAGCACTTCTCTACACTGAAATCCCAAATTCCTGGGGCTAGAATGGAAGACTCTTCATAATTTAATCTCATTCTACCTTTCCATTATGATCTCACAAACTTCCCTCACACCAGTGCTTAGATTCAGTCAGACACTCCTTTGCATAAGATCCCATCCTGATGCCTCTACAGAAAATGTCCCATTCACCTGGAATGTCATTCCTGCTCTCCTTTAGTTATAAATGCTTTGACCACCTTCACAGACATCTCCAACCCATATCCTTCAGAAAGCCTTTCTTCTTCAAGGTTAAATTCTGAATTATTTCCTCTCCTTTGAATCTTATAACTGTTCCTGAAATTCCTTTATTCTCATAACAAAAAGGGTAAATGTGAAACATGTATGCTTGTAGACAGTCTACTCAACCAAAATATATATATACAAGAACAGGAAAGACATCACTTGCTTTCTGTATCCTCCTTAATTCACGACAGTCAAACAAGAATTTCAAGAAAAGTTTTCCAACATTGGAACTGACTAGAAAACCACCTGGCTGAGAATTAGAAAAGTAGGAGCTGTTCCAACTCATTATAAATGTCCTAAAGTTAATGGATATTTAGGCCAGTCATCCCAAGTTATTTTTATATTCTATAAGTATAAATAAAATCAATAATTACAAATACAAACAGAGTGATATAATGAGGGCATAGTCATTTTTCTTAGACCAGGAGACAGCAAGTTATGGCCTATGAGAAAAATCCAGTTGGCTGCCTGTTTTGTAAATAAAGTTTTATTGACACACCACCATACTCATTTCATTACTTCTGTCTGTGATTGTTTTCTTATTATAATGTCAGAAATTAGTAGTTTTACTCTCTGGCCCTCTATAACTGAAGTTTGCTGACTCCTGTCTTGGACTAACACTAGGCAAAGACACAATGGCAAATATCTCTGAGTTTATGTTAATTGATAAAAGGCACAGAAGCATAGAAGTTAAAAGCACTTCTGACCACAGATTCCTGAGCTCAAATCCATTTCTACCATCCTTTACAGGCATGACTTTGGGGAAGTTACTTGACTTCCTCAAGTCCTTGTTTTGTCATCTTTAGAATGGAATGAAGAAAATAACCTCATAAAGTTTTAAGAATTAAGTGATATAATTCACATACAGTGCTCACTACAGTACCCAAAAGTAAATCTTCAGTAAGTGCAGATTATTATTATTATTTTAAACTGGAAAACCTACTTCTGTGACATTTGAAAAATTAACATTTTGTGGCCTCAATGAATTATGTGTGAATTATTCGCAAAAATAATCAAAATTATCCTCAAGTTCTTTGACCATGTAGGAAGCATATAAATACACTGGTAACTTCTAGTTCGGGGTCTCTTTTATTTCTCCCTGTTTCTACAATGGCTGCTTAATTGGACCTCCTGCCACCAGTCTTTTTATTTTATCTGCCCTTCTTACTGCTGTCAGAGAGACTTCCTCAAACACCTGTCTCAGCATGTTACTCCTGAGAACTCAAACCAACATGCTTTCTTGTTTCTGTGCTACCAATTCTGAGAGTAGGTAAAATAACCCAGTTACTTGATCCAGGAAATAGTTGCTTTCAAAAGATAAGGCCACAAGCACGCCAACTAAAATAGCTTATCAAAACTAATAGTTTGCTCATTCTTGCTTCAAAAACCTCACTCTGCTGTACCCACATCCAAAGCTTATATATAACAAACTCTGTCCAGTCCTCACCAGTTCCCTACCTTAAATTCACCCAACTCAAATCCTGAAATTCTATCAACATCCTTTCCTTATTTCTTCCATCTGAGAAACTACCAAGATTCTGTCAAGGAAGTGTCCTCTCATAAGACAATAAATCCAATAAACTTAACTTACTTCTATTAACAGGTTTGTCTAATGGTTTCCTTAGAGAGGTATTGGCTATAATTCCCAGTGTAAAGCATCCCATAGCTCTTCACTGCCTGCAGACTAAAATCACTTGACAGACAAATGTTGCAAAATGGTTGAGTACATGCATTGGTCTGAATGATTCCACATCCACACTTAGGAGCTACGTGATATTAAATGACTTACATTATGTCCTTGAGTCTCAGTCATGCTTCTGAAAATTGAAAAAGTTAGAAACACCCATAGTGCTCACAGAGAAACTGAGGTATATAGCATGTAGTAGGTATTCACCAACTGCTAGCAATTATTACTTATATTTACCATCTCTTATGTCAGGCACTGTTTGGAGTCTACAAAGAGAAATCTAAGACATAGCTCCTTCACCGAAGGAATTTAGACTCTGGTGGGCAAACACCAATAGTCAACTCAGTAAGCATCATGCAGGCTTGGAAAGATCTCTGCAGATACACGTTGCTCCCAGTGCATTCTAGAACCTTCAATTATTTTATATTCACTTCAAATTCTTTTTAACTTTTTATTATAAACAATTTCTTATGTACAAAAGACATACATAATAGAAGTTAAAATGAATACCTGTGAGGTTACACGGTGGTCAAGAATTATCCTATCTGTCGTCTTACACCTTTGAGTTCCTAGGACAAGAAATGAAGATCTCCGTTTTATCTCATCCCTTCTAGATGTTTCTGCCTGCTCTTTTCTAGTGACAAGTCAGAGAACAGGTTGAGTTCCTAGAGGTATCCAGGTTCATTTGGGAGTATCCTAGCTTTGGGGCCTCTTATGTCTGTTGTAACCCATGAGGGCACTTGGATCCAGCTGACACCCATGAAGGACTTCTGCCCCATGACTCCCTTAGACCTTCAGAATTCTCCTTGAACAGAGGTGTTCCCCCAAGCTATTTAGGAGCACTGAAGTCTCCTTAGCTACCTGTATGACATATAAAAGTAGTCTAGTTTATGAAAATCACATAGAAGTAAGATTCAAAGATGTGAGATCTAGAGCGAGCAGTGCTCCAAGCTAACTGTGAAATATCTCCTTTCCCAGGTCTTTGTTACTTCTCTGCCAAATGAAGAGACTGGACAAGAAGACTAGGGAGGCCCCTCTCAGCTACAGTGGCCCCTCTCTGGTCTATTCCCACTGTCGGGTTCAGTGAAGAAAAACGCCTCCTCTTCCCTCAAGTCCAATGGTGGGCAATGGTGGTATGCCCACTCTCTCTCCCAGCACTACCTGGGAAAGGTTCTTTCCCTCAGCTTTCAAATATAAAGACAGCTCCTCCATCTCAAATTTAAAACAAAATCTTTACTGACCAGCAGATGACTCTATATATTTCTTCACAAAGCCAAATTCATCGCTGTGTGGGTTATATGTGAAACCTCGGCTTCCTTATCACTACTGGCCCTTTGCAATACTTTTTCAGATCCCAACACCTACTACAATTGCTTCCTGGAAAGTCACTCATGGCTCCTAGATAAACTCAGCAAAACTCAGATTAACTATCAATTCTCAACTCCCAAGAAAGCAGGCAACACTTCCTGAAATGTCTGTAGCTTTCAAGGCTTTGCCCACCCAGGGGTACCACCATGCTAATCATTCCTCTTCATCCCAGGCTGCTTCCTCTACCTATGTGGGTGTAAATGCATACTGGAAAGATACTGGATTTTTGCTCCCTTCCTTAAAAGAAGAATTTACCAGTGAAGGATGAGGTTATTGAAAAAAATCTGATGAGATGTAAGGGTAATAATAATTAAAATGATAATGTTACAAGAACTAGGGGTATAAAGACATAATTTGGATGCTTTATAGAAAAAGAATGGGTAACATCGCCTTCCCTTGACATCAATCACATCAATTGCAATTCATCAGCAAATCAATCTCCTCTTCCAAACTTTTAAAATTCTATTGAATGCAGGACAGAAATCTATAGTATTCAGAGTGCAAATCAGATGCACTTAGAGGTTCAGCCCGCTACTGATTCAGGAAGCTTTCTGTAACACATGTCGAGCCTTTCATAAGGGTGTGGGGGTGGGGGGCAAAAGGAAAATAGTGATTGATAAATGACCTTACAGCACAAACTCGGGTCTCTCTGGCCTCTCTGCAAGCTTCAGAGCCTCATGCATGCCTGCAGCCGAGAGCTTCCGGTTGATATTCCGGTACTGGCACTGGAGCAGGCTGCGATAGGTGGTCCGCAGGTCCCGGTTGAAGAAGGCATATATAAAAGGGTTAATGAGAGAGTTTGCATATCCCAGCCACAGAAATGTCCTCTCCACCCACAGTGGGATGCAGCTGCAGGCGGTGCCGCAGATGAAGGGTCTGGCTGTCGAGAGGAGGAAGAACGGCAGCCAGCACACGGTGAAGGCCCCGACAATGATCCCCAAGGTGGTGGCTGCTTTCTGCTCCCTCTTAAAGATGGAGATGTTTTTCCTTTCGTGTTTGAGGAGTCTCGAAAGGTTGGCACACTCCTCCACCTCCTTCTGGAGCTTCACCATGCCGTTCAGGGAGATGACGCTGTCCGGTTCCTCCACGCGGGGGAAGCCGGGGAACTTGTGTTTGGCCGCACTCTTCCTGGCAGCCTTGTAAATCTGGTAGTACATGAAAAGCATGACAGACATGGGGATATAAAATGCCACGGCGGTGGAGTAGATCGTGTAGCCAAAATCCTGGCTGATCAAGCACACCTTGTCATCATTTACATTCTGCGCCCACCCGAAGAGCGGGGGTAGAGTGATGGAGGCAGAAAGAAGCCAGACGGAGAGGATCATCTTCGCCATGCATTTCCCGTTCTGCCTCACAGGGTATGTCAGTGGCCTCGTGATCCCCAGGTACCTGAGGGAGAGAAAGAAAGAAGGTGTGAATGCTGTGGTCACCACTGATGAGCTCGGAAGTCCCATCAGCCAGGCGCCAGGCTGTAGATCCAGGAGCTCCATTCTCAAAACTGCCCTTCTAGCAGTCTTTGTTATTCCCACTTTGCAGAAAGGTAAACTAAGGCTCTGAGATCGTAACTATTTATTCCATAATAAATCACATCATCAGTCACATAAGCAGCCAGCGGCACAGCCTAAGAGCCTTGTGCCTATAATACCAGTTTATGCTATTTTTATACCTTAAAGCTTCTTATATTCCATGTAGTCAATGAAATGATGATTAAACATCTGTTCCTCCCACCCCACCATAGCACTGTCACAGAAATCAACCAGGAATGTTGTGACATGTCCTCACAAATTAACTGAGGTCTACCATACTCTGATATTATACACCCACTGCTCTCCCTGCTTGTCTTAATTCAGGCCAGCTTTTAATTCACTTTAACTTCCCCTTTGAACTGCAGCAAAAGCATTTCTTTAAGATCACAGCAATTTGTGGATATTTAGGAAATCCTGGGGCTCTGGAATAGAATGTAGCAAAGGATCATTTTTCTACCCCCAGAAAATTATCACATGAGAGTAATGTCAGAGGAACAATCTACAAAATAAAAATCGCCTGCCTGGTCTCTCTCTCAAGAAGGATTTTAATAAAGGGCCTAATTCTGAAAAATTATTAGGCAAACCCAGCATTTTCTGTTTTTAGTTCTAAAAAGATAATAAATCTTTGTCTCTATTATCAAGGATTTATAGTGCAAAAGACACTTAGCCGAGAAAACATATACAGTAAGACATTTTTTTCACCAAATAGTTTTCAGCTTTCCAAATTTGTTTTTTCCTCTGTATTTACTCTGTATTTAATGGCCTTGGTTTCTGTTTGGGGGAAGATACAAAGAGCAATTAAGAAGACAAAAGAGATAAAAGCTGGTCATCTACTGTACTTCATTTATGGGTATAAAAGTGAAGAGTTACAGAAAGTCCCTAATGTACCAACAGGTTATTTTCTCAAAGTCTGTCAGTTGGTAGACTGACATTTAAAAAATAATTTCTGCTAAAAACAATCCCCAAGGTATGCTTAAATTACCCCCAAAAAAGTTGAAAATTATGTTCTCATCGTGAAAATTAGTATCACTACAACACTTACTAGGTAAACTGAAATACAGTAAAAGGGAATAAGCCAGATTTGCTTATTCACAGAGAGTAATGATTCATTCCTTTAACAAATATTAAAATAGAGCTCCTTCTATTTTAATATGCCAGATGCTATTTTAAGTGCCAGGGACATGGCAGTGAGGTACAAGAGACAGGTCTTGAATGCATGACCAGGAGTTTAACCACAACACTGAGCCCCAGAGTAACGCTGAAGGAACCCTGCCCTGCCAAGGATGCCCCCACCAATTCTTCATTGCACTGCCACTGCCCAGCCCTGGCACCACACGCGCTTCCCTAGGGTTATGCTTTGGCTCCTACAGAGAATTAGGGACAAGAAAGTGGGAGGTTTTCCTTAGAATGCAAGAATAAAAGCTGAAAGAGAAGGAAACAGAAAAAAGGAGACAGGAAGAAGGCAGGAAGGAAGGGCGGAGGAAGGAAATAGAGAGGGGAAAAGGAAATAGAAAGCCAGAGAAGGGGAGAGTGAAGTAGGCCTGGGTTTATATAGAATGGTCTCAAATATGAGCTTTAAGCTATGGGGAGAAAATGTTCAGATAATTAAAAGATGAATAAATAAATTCTTCCTTTCTTTGCTCAGTTCAGGAGCTCTCTCCAAACGTTTCCGGTTGAAAGTCTGCGGAATTCTCACTGGACCTAGGTGCTCTACCAGTTCTGCAAATGCAGTTTTTTGTCTCCTTCCTTGTTTCCCAGTTTCTCCAGGTGGACTTTGCCAGGACTTGGAATCTTTATCTGTGTTCTTTGTAACTACAGGCATAAACTGTGTGTTCTCAAACTTGGATTTGGCCTCCAAGACACCAACCCAGGCTGGAGGTTAGTTTATGCAGTTCCGCAGGTGGCCACCAGATGGCACAGTCAGGCCATCGTACACCTACTTATTGGTGTGTTGGGAAGATCAGTAGTTAGAGCAAAAGATGTATACTGGAGGGTGGCTGCGCAAAAGTTTTTATTTCCTTTCATTTTTCTTACTAAAATAGACCTTTCCAGGCCTAATTAAATCCAGTCTTTCTTCTGCCTGCATATATAATATAGAATTCACAAATGTTAATCATAAGATACTGAGTTCTAAAAGACATCTTAGAGTATTTGATAATCTCAGAAGGACAGCATGCCTATTTATTCTAGTATATTTAGTCTGACTTACATTTCAATGAAAGACTGGCCCATACTCAGTCCTCCCTAGATGTACAAATCCATATTTTATTCTAAATTATGAAATATAACAAACTCTGCCCTATTATAGGCATCATTATCTAATTATCTCAAGTCATGTCCTTAAGAATTGTATTTAGGGCCTCCCTGGTGGCACAAGGTGTTAAGTCTCAGCATTATCAAGCTATCACCAGCCACTGCAGCATGAATTGGATCCCTGGTCAGGGAGGTGACCCACATGGCACAGTACACACCTCCTTTCTCACCCGCTTCTCCCCTTAGCAGTGTATTTCCGCAGACCTGAATGTTCTGTTCCCCACTCTGTCTCTGCTGAATCCTCTCACCCACCACACCTCTGGCCTATACCCCAGCTCTTGTATACATAAATAAATCTTTGGGGAAAAAAAAGAACTATATTTACTTTTTTAAGTCTCCTGGGTACCACTTGGTGAGATTTTTGAAGGTTAAAATTAATTGAAATGTGATTAGAAAAAAATGAGTGCTCTTAGATGTGTCCGGAAATAAAATAAATAAGACACAATCACTTTTTAAAAAAAAAAGACTAGGGCCTCCTGTGGTGGCATGGTGGCGCAGCAGTTGAGCGCTGGGCTGTGAAGCTGCCCACAGCCTCTGCAGCGTCGGTTCAATCTCCGGCCGCAGGTGAGGGTCCCACATGGCGCGACAGACCTCTCCTGTCTCGCCCACTGCTCCCCTCAGCAGTGGACTTGGTCGGTCTGCCTGTTCTGTTCCCCACTCTGGCTCTGGTGAATTCTCTCACCCTCTCACGCTTGTGACTATACCCAGTGCTTGTATAAATAAATAAATAAATCTTTAAAAAAAAAAAAAAAAGACTAGATATTACTATGGGAGGAAATATTTTTTTATAAATCTGACTTCAGAACTGAGGCTGCCAGAGGGTAAGCATGGAAGATGAGGGCTAAGGTTGGAGGGGGCCCAATGGACTATGTGTAGGTTTATTGGTGACCTGGTAGTGGGGGTGGTTAGGTAATACACATCTGAGAAGGTGTGAACCTATACCCTTAAATCATACACGGTATTGTAAATCAACCTTACCACAATACAAAATAATTTAATAACAAAACAAAGAAAAATCCAACACTGGGAATGTGAAAAAAGAGGCAGTCTATCATTTTGCTACTTGGTATTTCAACTGAGAACACTGGAGGACAGCTTGGTAATTAATATATGTCAACATCTGCCTTTTGGCTCAGCAATCAAACTTCTAAGAATCTGTCTTAAGAATATAAATTTTACAAATGCAAAATGATTAATGTATAAAGATGTTAACTGAACACAGAGGGGGAAAATATGCAATCTAAATATCTATCAATAGGAGATTAGATACAGTATAGTGTATATGGGTGCACTATATATTCTGTATATATACATATAAGTAACCATTAAAAATTATATGTTGACATGAAAACAAAAAGCAAATTAAAAAAAAGTCTAGAACCAAAAGACATACATTGTATTTATCTTTTTATGTCTACCTAGCCATTTGTGACCATTTGTATGTATACTGAAATGGCTGGAAAAATACCTATCAAAATATTAATAGCAAATTTATCTGAGTTGTAGAGATGAGTAGATTTTAAATTTTCCTTTGTACTTTTTTATGCTTAATTTATTTTTGACTGTTTTTAAAAAGTGTCATTTTAATTCTAAGAACAAAATAAAAGATTTAAGTAAGAGGTTTCTGTGATTCCTAAGTCACCTAAGTGGATTTGGCAATAAAGATAATCAGGTTCATAAAATATTTTAAAAGCTAATAATTAAATCCTAGGTTGTTTTACTTGATTAACTTGTCAAAAATATTTTATTACATTCATAAATTTACACAAAGGAAAAAGAACTCAATTGCATTTAAAATCCATAATTACTATACAAAGTAATATTGTTATTCAGGGAAGTGTTTGTCTAAATTATATATTCTTCCAAATCTTGTATAATATAAAACTTGCCTGTGAGGGAGAAAGACAAAATAAAAAGTAACTTAGATTGATTCTAAATATTCCCTAACGTGCATAGTTAATATTTGTCACACTAACATTTATGCTCACAGTTAATTATAAAGCAGGGTGCTTATAAAGCTTTCAGATTTTAACTTTAAAATGCATACAAGTATTAAAATATAGCACATCTCAGAGACAAAGGCACCAAAGTATTATATTATTGAGAAATGTATATAACTCACACTAGAGGCTCCATTACAGTAGCTGTTTGGAGAAAAAGAGGATTAGGGAGTTATAATCTGCATAGAGAGGGATTTGAAAGAAAGCAAATTAACTCTGCCTCCTGTCTTCCATTCTAACTGTACAGAAATTACAGATAATAGTTATTTAATTAAATGGTTTCTCCTGAGTCTTGTTGCTATGGAATATCACTTAGGACGTAAAAGAAACTGGGTAGAATTACTCTGAAATACTGTGGCTTGGGGAGTGTTAAGATGTAAAATAACGTTTGCAGATTTAGAAAAATTCCTTCAGAAGATTTCCTACCTTAAGGTAGGTGAAGCCACCTGCTTCTCTAGCCTGTATCCATGAATCCCAAAATTACCAGATTATCAGCATCACCAAGAAGCTTTTGAAACAAAAAAAAAATTCTTGGCTTCCCACACACAGA